ACCAAAAGTGAAAAGTGAACCGGTTCGGGGAAAATGAAACTCATGATAAGGCTGATGGTAATATAGAACAATTGCAACCAGTGTGGCAGCCTCGTCCGTTCACTATTTTACAGGAAAATGTGTAAGATGTTTGTCTCGCTCTTATGAACAATACACATATGTTTTATTTTATTCTTCGCAGTAAATTTGTGTGTATGTCAATAAATTTTACAGTTATCTTAAAGTGTGCATTGAAAAGAAATTTCGCAATTGAATTTTAAAAATTTTAAAGGGCATTACAAATAGTTTATTAGCTTGAGCTCTATATTTAAACATATTCGCAATATGGAAAAGTGAGTAGCTAACATTTCATGTATTAATAAAACCTTTAATACAAAATGAAAATTTTCTTTATTAGATATCTTCAAAAAAGTTCCAAGAATACCAATGGTGTTGAAGGTGTACAAGATGTAGAAATTAGTGATGGGCAAAAAATCACTATCGGCGACTTTTTCACAGCGTTTTTCAAGTCACCGTTTATCACAGTGATTAAAAATATTAAATCACCGTTTTCCTATTTTTTCATTCTACCACGTGTGCCATCACTATTACTGTTGAACCATTCACAATTGCATCAATCGCTGTAACTGGTAAACAGTACTGCCGTAAAGTTTTAAATTAAGATCTTCATTAAAAGGGCAAAAGCATGCTTGATACAAGTACTATCTTCGCGAAGTTTTGTCTCATGTATTTTATGTACATATTAGGTTTGGATTGTTTCGCTTTATTGTAATAAAATCACTTTACTTTTTACAAATCTGTAAAAATCTATTTATTAGCTTAAAGGCCGATAAATTCGAAAGCTATTAAATTTTTCTCCCAAATCCCTCTAAAATACTTCACTTGTTTGGATTTTTACTTTAATCGGAATTTCACTAACGGCAACACTACGGACCAACGTTTTCCGTTGAAAACACAAAACACTTTTTTGCTGGTTGCAAATTCGCTTTAACTAATTGAATAAAAGCCATGGAGAAACGAAAAAGGAGTGAACTTTGGAAACTATTTACAGCAATTGACGGATGTTACGCGAAATGTAATGTATGTGCAGCTAAGTTGTCTTGTAAGACAAGTTTATCGAATCTAAAAAGACATTTACAAAGCAAGCATCCAACAGTAGCTGTCCCTTCAGTACTTCCACAGGTTAGTTGCATACGTTTTGTTTCAAAAACTATTTTAACGGGTTTTCATAAATGTTTATAGAGGAGTAAAAATAGTGGTGATAATGTTGGAGACGTCGTTGTGGAGACAGATGTTAATACCATACGAGATTCGGCAAGTGCAACAAGCCGGCAGCCAAAAATTTCTTCTTTCGCTAAGTTGCCGTTAACAAAAACGAACAAAGAAATGATAGACTGTAAACTCCTCGATTTATTCACTGAAAGTTTTCAGCCGTTCCACTTGGTAGAAGAAGAGCCGTTCAAAAAATTTGTCAAGGCTTTAAATCCCAACTACGAATTACCCAACAGGTATCTCATTTCTCGCACGCTGCTTCCAGCTTTATATGAAACATGCAGAATTTCTGTACAAAAGTTAATGGCTAAAACACAAAAAGTTTGCTTGACGACAGACTGCTGGACGTCTTGCAACAACGATAGCTACATGGCTGTTACTGCGCACTACATAAATGAAAATTTTAAAATGGTCTCGACACTCCTAGGATGCCCGCAAATGTTGGCAAGTCACACTTCTGAAAATTCGGCCACTGAGCTTAAACAAATTGTAACAAATTGGGGCATCGAAAAAAAAAGTAATCCTTACGGTTTCTGACAACGCAGCCAATATAAAATCAGCTGTTGAAAACAATTTGAAATGGAAACATTTGGGATGCTTGGCACATACGCTAAAACAATTGTCGGCTTTTTCAAACGAAGTTCAACTGCCAATTTAAAACTAATCGAGTATCAACGAAACCAGGGTACGTCTCAGCCACTTAAGCTTCTGCAAGATACTCCAACACGTTGGAATAGCACGTTTTACATGTTAGAACGCTTTCTGCAGCTTGAAGAGGCTATAAAAACAACAATTGCTTTAAGTAATGCTGATCTACCTTTATTAAGCTTTACTGAGTGGAGTATACTAAAACAGCTTTGCCAAATACTTAAAACATTTGAAATGGTAACAAAAGATTTTAGTGGCGATTCTTATGAAACTGCATCAATTGTGTTAACTCTTGTCAATGGACTAAAAAAAGTAATTGGAAAGCTTAAAACTCTTGAATTATACGATTGTGTTAAATCATTTTTGGAAAAGTTAGATTATAGCTTGCATAGTAGTTTCGCATATATAGAAAGAAGCCAAACATTAGCTGCTAGCACATTTTGCGATCCCCGATTTAAGTTAGTTCCATTTCGTGAGCCTGAAAGGGATTGGGTGAAAAAAAGCATAATTGCAGCCCTTTCAGAAAAAATTGGACAACAACACGACATAAGCAACATTCAAGAGACTGGCGATAATGCGGATGAGTTTTCTGTGTGGTTTGAGCACGACAAAAAAGCAGCAAACGTTGTGCCACAAGGAACACCTACGTCAAAAGCTATTATAGAGGTGCATAGATATCTGGAAGTAGGGATAATTTCTATAAAATCAAATCCTCTTCAATGGTGGCGTGAAAACCAATATATGTTTCCAGTTTTGGCAGAGGTCGCTAAAGAAAAACTCAGTGCCCTTTGCACATCTGTTCCGTGTGAGCGCATTTTCTCAAAGGCTGGGTTGATCGTAACAGATAGAAGATCGCGGTTGAGTCCAGCAAAAAACGGAGATGCTTCTATTTTTAAATTCAAATTCAAAATACTCATCTATACAATAAATGCTTATATAACTTATATTTACATTTTCAGCAACACAGAAACTTGTCACTTTTTATTTAAAAATGTAATAATATGAAACTAATATACATTTAAAGCTTTACGAATTGCATTTTAATAACGGTATTATAAAATTATGGAGTGCTTATTGCGTTGGCTTTTTTAATGGCTGTATCAAGCTGTACTATCGAAAATTCACATAATTCTAAAATAGTGATTCGAATCACCGATTAAAGTCACTGCTTTCAGGAAATCACAGTAACAGTTTTCACAGTGATTGTAAAATCACCGTTTTGCCCATCTCTAGTAGAAATGGCAGATGTTCAATGTGAAAATTCAAATCAGGCACCTGAAGTCGCTAAAAGCAGCAAGCGTCGAAATTTGTTTCTTGCAAAGTGGAAAGACAACTATAATTGGGTTGATGAAAAATCAGGCGGCGCTTACTGTAAATATTGTGAGATAAAACTTCCTAATAACATTTGTCATTTGATGCGCCACGAAAAGTCGTTTAGGCATAAAAAATCACTGGATTCGTTAAAAAACCAGCCTAAAATTTTAACATCCACCCAAACATTTCAAAGGCAAAATGACTTAGTTAAAGTGGCAGAATTACAAATTATCATGTTTTTAATACAACATAATTTACGGTTTGCTTTAATTACACCATTGGTTTTATTGATAAGACATATTGCGAGTGACTCAGAAATTTGCAAAAAACTCAAAATTGGAAAAACAAAGGCAACTGAAACAGTAAAGACCGCAATTTTTCATGAAGTACGCAAAGATATTATTGATATCTTGCAAAATCAAACCTTTTCTATGATAATTGACGAGACAACTGACATCTCAACATCAAAATGCTTGGCGATCGTGGTTAGATATTTTGATAAAACGAGCTTGAAAGTACGGGACAGATTCTTAGCTTTAATTGAACTGGCCAAATTTGATGCTTGTACGTTAGTTCAAGAAATTAGAAAACTTTTTAAGAGTATAAATGTTCCTTTGAAAAACTGCCTTGGGTTCGCAAGTGATAACGCGTCTGTTATGGTGGGCAAAAGAAAAGGTATTGCGGCACTTTTACGTGAAGATAATCCCAATTTGTTTTCAATTGGTTGCACATGTCATTCTATACATCTTTGTGCTTCTGCTGCGGGAAAGGTTTTGCCAGCTGGTCTGGAAATTCTAACAAGAAATATATATTTATATTTTGCCCATAGTGCCAAAAGGCAAGTTGAGTTTAAAGAATTTCAAGAATATTTTTCTGTAAGCCGTCACAAAATTCTTAAAAAATCTATTACAAGATGGCTATCAATGGAACAGGTTGTTTCCAGGATTTTTGAACAGTGGACCCCTCTCCAACACTATTTTCTACAAGAAAATTTTGATTCTTCTGAAAACAATGATTTGGCTTTGAAAGTTAAAGAAGAATTAAATGACGATAACAAATTTTTGTTACTGTTTTTGAGTTACGTTCTTAAATTACTTAACAATTTAAACTTGGAATTTCAGACTGAAGCAACAAGAATTCATGTGTTGCTTATTCATGTAAAAACGATTTATAAAACTATTTTAAGTAACTTTTTAGACATAAGTTCAAACATTGATGTATTTACTATTGATTTTAATAACACCGACGATTTTAAACCTGCTAAAGATATATATTGCGGTCCCAAGGCAGAACTATTTTTAAAGTCACGAAATTTGTCTGATGAACAAACCATTGCTCTAAAAAAATATTGCATGAAATATTACGTTGTGCTGTGCAAAGAAATATGTAAACGAGTAAACTTTAAGGATCCGGTTTTGTTAGCTCTTCAAGGCATTAACCTGAATCTTTGGCCGAAACTACAGCAGAAATCGCCTCAGTGTTCCCAAATCTAATTACAGAAGAAAATATTGAAGGAATTGATTTCGAATGGAGATTGTTGAAAAATCAGCAAATAGTGTCGAAAGAATTGGAATTAGAAAATTTTTGGTCTGCTGTTTTTAAGCAAAAAAATGCATTGAACGAACAGTTGTTTCCCAAATTAGCAATATTAATTTCAAATATCCTTTGTTTACCACATAGTAGCGCAACAGCTGAGAGAGTTTTTTCTCAACTGTTTTTAATTAAGGATGAAAAACGTAACTGCCTATCAACTGAAACAATAAATTGCATAATGGCTTGTAAAGAAATTCTTAAAAATTGTAACTGTTACGAATGGAAACCATTAAAAAGTACTTTACAGGCTTACGTAAAACAGTAATTTTTATTTACCAAATAATTTTTAATAACTATAATTCTGTACATGTGTTAGTTTTAATTTTTTTTAAACAAAAGCTGTTACTTTATAAACGTTAAATTCATAAATACAAATAAAAATGTCTATCTGAAGAAAATTATTTCTTTAATTAATACATACAAATGGTGTCGCGTAGCACAAATTACACGAAAATAGCCAAATTGTTAAAAAAAAATACAATAAAAAGATTAACTACTATTTGAACGAAAAAACTACTATTGCTTATGAAAAGTGCTACTATTCGATAAAGTAAAACGACAGCACTGAGTGGGACCTCTTGAACCTGGTATGTTCAAGACCAGCGTTGCCATTTTAGCCGTTTTCCGGCTAGATTTAGCCGGTTTTGATAGCAACCAGCCGGAGAAAATTCGATCTAGCCGGCAGCCGGTTTGTTAGCCGGTTTGTAAAAAAAAGTTAGCCATTTTTAGCCGATTTTACTATTTGCCTAATTTTCAGGTGCAAAAAGTAAACAAGTTGTTCGAAAGCAATAATGCAGACCTAATGAAGATTTTTAATGAACTCAATGTTTTACTTTCGCATCTATGCTCCCTAGTGGTTATTAGCGCGGACACATTTGATCCTATATGCTCCCCGTTGGAACCATACCTTGCTCCATTTCCTCAGTTTTATCACAGTTCTGAAGAATATTTAAAAACAAAAGTAAGCACAAACGCTTTTGACCACGAAGCCGAGAAAATAATTCGAGAAAATGGTCGCTATTTTATTATCACTTTAATAAAGGAATTACGCCAACGCCTCCCTACAAATATTGCCACACTAAAAAAAATTGACTTTTTACGGTTGGAAATGCATTAAGAGTAATTAAACCAAAAGTATTAGTTCAACTACAGCAATAAAAACACAAATATAACGCCGACGAAATAACATCCACAGAGATGCAATAGCAACGGCTAACGTTACATACCTGGAGTAATTTAGACTCAACTGTAAATTTTTGGGCCGAAGTTTATTAATTTCAAAATGCCCTAGGAGAAAACCCTGACCTTTGCAACCTAGTTTTTAGTTTTCTTGTTTTGCCTATAAGTAATGCAGAAGTAGAGCGAATATTTAGTTCAATGAATATAATAAAAACTAAGCAAAGAAATCCAATGTGTGTTAAAACGTTAAACGCTATTTTATATATAAGATACGGTTTACAACGTGAAGAAAAATGCTGCCATAATTTTACTGTAGATGACGATCTCTTAAAATTAATGAATTCAGGTGATATATACAATAGTGATTCATTTGATGATGAGGAATATACACTCGATATAAATTAATGGTGTTAACTAGTCTTTCGTTTCTTGCGATTTATTTAAATAAAGTATGTGGATTTTCACTAAAACATTTTAGCGTTTTTTGCCAGAGTCTATGTGAAATTTCACTAAAACATTTTAGCCGTTTTTAGCCGCTTTTTTTT